GACGTCTTTTCATTGGTCAGCCGGTTAGCGCGGTCGATGCTTATAATAAAAGCACACACACACACACACACACACACGAAATTGACGACACTCCTGTGCGCCGTGTTCGTGGTTGGTCAGGGGATGACAAAGGCGCGGATCGTGGACAATTGTTGGTCGAGCGAGGCTCAGCGGCAGTACCGGGGGTGACGCAGGCTCATGTAAGTGAACGCTAAGCCTTGCCAAAGCGGGTGTGCCGGAATATTCATCGTTCTCCGGTGCCTCTTTTGTCTCTCTAAAGTACGGGTCGGAGACCATGCGTCGCGCTGAAGTGTGTAGCGAACGATCTCTCCGGGCGTCGTCCGGTTTTTGATGGCACAAGAAGCGAAGAGAGAGAAAGAGAGACATAGATCATAGACAGAGACAGAGAGCGTGGCTACTGCGTGTGGTGATCCTGGTCGCAGCAACGTGTGATGGTCTCAGTCGTTTTCTTCACCAGGTAAATACCCAACACACAGACTAGTCCACGACACTCGCGGTGCATGCAAAAGAGCTAAATAACGCACGGCGGAGACCACCCTGGAATTTCAGCGACTCTCCGAGATAAGCAACGATGGCGACCGAATGTATCGACCTTCCGAGGCAAGCAACCCCGGTAGGGGTTGAGGTTAACGAGATCCCTCCCCCCTCCGCCTATCTCTCTCGCAGCATCCCTCGTGATGAACTACACCTCTTTCCTCCGAAAACAAAAACTTTCTACACGGGTCTGTCCCCAAAGAGTCACGAGTCCTAGACACGAACGACTCTTCTGCGCGATGAAAACAACCAACAGACAAAATGAACGAAAAATTTCTCGAAGCTTCCATCACCACATCTCTCGCTTCAACAGGGGGGTCGTGCAAGATACGCCACACGCCCGCGTGCCCCGCTATTCTTGCCTATTAGTACTTCTTCAAGCACAACCGAAACGACAAAATGAACGAAAAATTTCTCGAAGCTTCCATCACCACATCTCTCCCTTCAACAGGGGGGTCGTGCAAGATACGCCACACGCCCTCGTGCCCCGCTATTATTGCCTATTAGTACTTCTTCAAGCACAACCGAAACGGCTTGGGGGGGCCGAAGGCCCTGGGGGATGGGGGGGGAGACCCCAGCCAGGCTATCTGCGGGTGGACGAGAAGTCGATGGTGATCTTGTCCTGCTTGGGGATGTGTTGCCGGCATTTCACGCCCGAAAGTTCGAAGAGCCTTCGCGACGCCTTCATGCTGTTGGTCTCGCGGTACTGGACGCCAATTTAATGTTTTGAATCGGGCAAAGCGAACCAAGAAACGGGATTTACAACGGGGGGGGG